AAGAAAATGGTGGACAAATTGTAGAAGGAATTCTATCCTTCATGCAGAAATGTGAAGAGAAGCTTTTTGACAATATTCATTTCCTTGCTGGAGTTTATGTTGAGCCACGGTATCGGATTCTTCTTACCACAAGGGAAATACCAAAGGCAAAGGAAGGGCTCCTTGATATTGCTTGACAACTCGAAAAACAAAATCTATTGCTACATTTGAACTCGGTGAAAGAGGTTGAAGAAAACGAAACACAACAAAAGGAGTCATCAACAATACTGCATGCCCCCTACAATAACCTTGAGACACCCCGAGAAATAGAAGGCTGTTTTCAAACTTCCGTCTCCACTTTGAACTTGTTCAAGCATCCATCCCTGAGACATCTTCAACCATCACAGGAAAACGGAGATAATTCAAGCACCAATTCTTCAGAAGATGACGACTTCGAAAAGGAATTGGATAAACAAGAAAGACGCCGGCGAGTTTCTGAGATTCATAATTGTTATGAATCATTATTCGACAGAAACTTTCGGGAAGATGAGGCGATGGAGTCTATTGGTAGACTAAAAGTTAAGTCTGTTTTTGAGGCCATTCACAGCTACCCACACACATTCAGGCTGCCTGTAGAATTGCTTCAAGCATGCCAACAATTCAAGCTAGTGTGGAGCGACTGTTTTCGGCTTTAAAGTTAATTTTAAGTGATCTGCGTCAGGCTATGAAAGATGACTGGACTGCTGCAATAATTTTTTACAGATTGAATTATGAATGATTCTAGTTTGTATCATTGTTGATGACATTTAAATTGTTTTAAAACTGAATAAAAATAATGTTTTTTCAAAGTTACAGTATGCACTTTTTTATTTAATTAAAAATTAATTTGAGTCAGAGCGTGGAGCAGAGGCGGAGCGGAGCTGGAGCAGTCACTATTGGTGCAGGAGCAGAGCTGGAGTGGAGCAATTCAAAAATTTGATTGCTCCAAATCCCTGACTAAGAGAAACTCTACAACTTTATTTCACAGGAGTCCACTTGAGGGATCCTCCATGTTTCTTAAGATACACAAAGAAACCTAGGCAGATGAAGCCCATCTAATCATGGCACTTTTACTGCTTTTAGATGATCAGGACACAGAAACCATCCACAAACCCTCACCGCACAAAGAACAAGCTTCCTCTAGGACACAACTGACTTTTGCTAGAAACTCTACAATATTAATATTTTCCCTCAAAACATCATTCATGCACCTCCGTGCATGAATGCCACCTCCCTACTCACCAACATCCCTCAATGACAGCATTGTTGCCTGCCTCAAATATCTATGATAACCCCCAAACATACCACCAAACCCACTTTGAGGAAGAATTTGTGGACAAATATACCATGAAATCAATTATATGCCTGAGACACATCAATGACATTTCATCCTCTAGACAGACGACCTATACCCCCCCTCATAGATTTCCACCACAACTACCCATCCAACAAACTCTTTCTAGACTACTGCTGCACCAGCATCAACTTCTTAGTCACCACGGTAAGCTGCAACAAAGGAACTGTAACTATAGAAGAAACCCACAGATCACCCACAGTTACCTTCATAGATCCTGTAACCACACCAAGAAATCTGTTAACTACAAGAAGACACCACAGAACATGTTCTAATGATATAGTGCAGGATATACTACTTAACATGATTAAAACTGCCTTCACAGAACAAGGATATTCCATGAGAGAATTAGATCCCATTATGGATTAAACCACCCAAACGCCTAAAGAGAATCTGCTTCAATAAGGGGGGAGGGGAAGAATCCACTCCAATTGCACACATTTAGTTGTCACCAACACCCTAGGCCAGTGGTCTCCAACCTTTTTACACCCAAGATCACTTTTTAAGTCTCAGAACAGGCGAAGATCTACTGCCCCGCCCCTTCCTTGAAGCTCCGCCTAAATTTCATGAGGAAATCTAATGTAAATGTACTGCGCAGGTGCACAGTTCAGAGAGGGCTCAAGAGCTACTCTTAGCGCCCCTGAGATCTACCGGTAGATCCCGATCTACTGGTTGGTGACCACGGCCCTAGGCTGCAACATATGTGGGACATCATTAAACAGTTACAAACCACGCTCAATGGGGACCACATCTGGAAAGAAATTTTCCCCAACCCACTCTTCTGACTTTTTAATAACCCCTCAACCTCTCCAAGCTCATCATCAGAAGCAACCTTCCCACAGACCAGGACCAAGTCAAAGCGGCACCAGACCCTGACACAACCCGAAGACACATCTCCAAGTGAGGAAGTCAGACACTGGGAAGAATCACAAGGAGGACCCCTGATTCAGATGGAGAAGGTAGGGTGATCAACTGGTTATCTAAGGTGTTTGTACACAAATGCAAGAAGCCTAGGAAACAAACAGGAAGAATTAGAAGCCCTGGCCCAGTCGAAGAACTAGGATTTGATTGGAATAACGGAGACTTGGTGGGATGACTTCACATGACTGGAGCACTGTCATGGAAGGGTATAGACTGTTCAGGAAGAACAGGCGGGGGAGAAAAGGAGGAGGAGTTGCATTGTATGTAAGAGAGCACTATGGTTGCTTGGATCTCCAGTATTTAGAGGGAGAAAAGACTGTTGAGAGTCTATGGGTTAAGTTTAGAGATGGAAGCAACAGGGGTGCTGTTGTGGTTGGGGTCTGCTATAGACTGCTGGATCAGGTGGATGAGGTAGACGAGGCTTTCTTTGGACAACTGAGAGAAGCTTCCAGATAGCAGGCGCTGGTTCTCATGGGCGACTTTAATCACCAACGTCTGTTGGCAGACCAATACAGCAGTACACACACAAGCCAGGAAGTTTTTGAAGAATGTTGAGGATAACTTCTTGGTACAAGCGCTGAAGGAACTGACCAGAGGCTATGAGAAGCTTGACCTGCTGCTCACAAACAGGGAAGAAATAGTAGGGGAAGTAGAGGTGGGTGACAACCTGGGAAGCCGTGATCATGAGATGGTAGATTTCAGGATCCTGACCAAAGGAAGAATGAAGAGTAGCAAAATACTCACCCTGAACTTCAGAAAAGCAGACTCTGACTCCCTCAAAGAACTGATGGGCAGGATTCCCTGAGATGCTTACATGAAAGGGAAAGGAGTCCAGGAGAGCTGGCAATATTTTAAAGAAGCCTTATTAAAGGCACAGGAAGAAACCATCCCAATGTGCAGAAAGAAAAGCAAATATGGTAGGCCACCAAACTGGCTTACCGGGGACATCGTTGGTAAGCTTAAACACAAAAAGGAAGCTTACAAGAAGTGGAAACTTGGACAGACGACTAGGGAGGAGTATAAATATCTTGCTCGAGAATGCAGGGGAGTTATCAGGAAGGCAAAAGCGCAAATTGCTGCTAGCAAGGGATGTGAAGGATAACAAGAAAGGTTTCTACAGGCATGTTAGCAATAAGAGGGTGATCAGAGAGGGTTTGGGGTCCTTACTGGATGAGGGAGGTAACTTAGTGACAGATGATGTGGGAAAAGCTGAAGTACAGCATCTGACTTACGAACCAGTTACGGACCAAGGAATTGGTCATAACTCGGTTAGTTCGTAAGTTGGCCCCATGGAGTTACATGCAACCGCGCTGTTTGTAAGCGCGGATCACGTTCGTAACTCGGGATCCGCCATTTACGACAGCTTTGGTCATGACTGTTCGCAGTTACAAGTCGACTGTACACAACTCGGGGACCGGCTGTACTCAATGCTTTCTTTGCCTCTGTCTTCACGGACAAGTTCAGCTCCCAGACAAATGCAGTAGGCAACGCAGTATGGCAGGGTTTCCCAACCTATTGGTCAGGACCCAAATTTGGGTCTCCATTACACTTCAAAAGGGTCGCCAAGTGTCTCCTCAGGAGCCATTCACACATTTTTTGAATGGCCCTGGGTCACCAAATCTTCCTGAATTGTCAAAATGGGTCCTTACCTAGAAAAGGTTGGGAACCGCTGCAGTATGGGAAGGAGGTGGACAGCCCTTGGTTGGGAAAGAACAAGTTAGGAACTATTTAGAAAAGCTAAACATACACAAATCCATGGGCCCAGATTTAATGCATCCAAGGGTACTGAGGGAGCTGGCAAATGTTATTGCAGAGCCTTTGGCCATTATCTTTGAAAACTCGTGGAGATTGGGAGAGATCCCAGATGACTGGAAAAAGGCAAATGTAGTGCCCATCTTTAAAAAAGGGAACTACACACCCATCAGCCATACCTCAGTCCCTGGAAAAATCATGGAGGGGATCCTCAAGGAATCCATTCTGAGGCACTTTCAAGTAGGAATAAGGGATCTTGCGGAAAAGGGTTTATTTTCCGCAAGATCCCGTCTAGACTGGCGCTTTTCTCCGGCAAAACCCCGAGCCGGAAAAAAGTGGCAGCCATGTTCATGCAAATGCCGCAGGGGATATTTAAATCCCCCACGGCATTTGCAATTCTGACTGGTCTCATTAGCATCCCTTTTCCGCAAAAGGGTGCCAATGTAGACACAGCCCAGATGTTTTAGCTACACATGCTAAAAACTATCTGTTTCACTTTGTATTTATCTGTGACACTCTGAGATCTCTGTTGCTTGAAAGTTTGTTGCTTACAGCAGTAGAAGTTGGTCCCCTAAAAGATATTGCCTCACCCACCTTATCTCCCTAACATCTTGGTACCAATACAGCTACAATACCACAGCAAACCATGTAATGTCATATTTTGAAATGCACAAAAGATATAATTAGTATTTTATGCATGTCCAAGACTTGGGCATTTACAAGGTATTAATGTAATTCGGAGCACAGCTAGATCCTCAGCTACACTACAAAATGCCACCATGTCAATATGAGGAGCAAATATATAGTTCCTTAAGGTAGTTATTACACAGCTGTTTTAACATTGCTTTTTCCTTTTGATGCAAACCAGAAAAAAAAAGTGTGGGGTAATATGGATGAGTCACAATAACAATTCACAATGTAACTGACTCAAATACAGAAGCCGAATAACTATTACCAGGGCCGAAGAAAGGTTTAATGCAAATATTCCCAAACTGGTAAACTCAACATTTCCAGATGATATATGAAGCAGCATGTGCTGAGTACTTCGATGCCGATTTGCCTATGTGCAATGAGAAATGGAGATGGTCTAGAAGAACAGTATCTCTACTACTACCGAGCACAAACCATGGGGAAAAATAAATAATTTATTTACAGCACCTAAGAGCCCTTGTCTTGTAGCAAGTGCTATACAAACAGCAACGAAATAATTCCTATGGCCAAAGAGTTTACTATCAGAGTACAAAATAAGACAATAGGAATTTCTTTGTTGGCACCATCAATAAAGGGAATCAGCAACTGCATGCTCCATTGCACCTAACCCAACACAGCCCCCACTATTTTCCTTTCTACCCATTTTTTCATCTACTCTTCTCCCAGAGCACCAACACCATCTCATGTCTTTTATTTCTACATTGTTGCCCATGCCACAGCCCAAGTTTTCCCCTCTGGCTCTCCCTTAGAAGGCTGCCTGCTGTTTAGGGCCCCAGGGGAGAGTTTAATGTTGGTAACCAGGGTAGAACTGAGTTTAGGCTGAGCTCACACCACTGGGCACCTCAGTCCCTCCAGCGACCAGCTCCACCGGGGAGGAGCACAGCAGGAAACCAGCCTCAGTGAAC